TTCGTAACACATGTCTAACTGATACATCTTATAATTTAGTAGACTATGTTTCATAGACAGAATAATACAGAGCGAACTTGTATGTGATATATGCTTACGTCACTTATTAGTTGGACATCGCGACTATGTAACAAGTGACACAAACTCACAAAAGCCAACGGAGCTTTTTGGGTCGGTGTCAAGGTCTCGTTAGACATTATCTCATTGAGGGTGATAAGCCTTCCAAGATAAGTTGATCGTTGGACACAGTCAACTGTTTCATTCACTATTATTAATTTAGACGCTGGCACAAACTAGTTTTGAATCAACATTTTGCACTTAAAGTAAGGGAAACTTGTCACTCAAAGCTTTCTGCAGATCATACTTTTTTAGCATCTTCATCAATTAGCACTATATATCATCTGAGTACTCCAGGTTGATAAATGAGTTTTCAGAAAGGAGATCAATCTCCGGAAAAATATATTTCTAACAGAATATCTTTGTACACTAACACAAGTGGTCAGATGAGAGCAATCCAATTGGGTAGATCTCACTCGGACGTTGATATCACATTGTTTATTTTCACTCCATCTGTTCATTGATTTGTTTCAAATCTTAAATAATTTAAATTCAATTCAAATGGAGACAATTTAATGGTGTTTTAGACATATCATAATAATTTTAAAACAGTAATGTATCAATCACAAAGTATTTCAATAAATTTTAATTCTTGTCATATATAACACTATGATACACACTTTTTTTTCTTTCTTGATTTTATTATTTCTAATAGTTTATTATTATTATTATTTTTGATTATTTCATTTGTAAAAAAAAAACAAACTTCTCTAGATATTAGGTATACCTCAACATTATGGTTTATTTTATGCTATGGGTTTAGCATTAACTATGGAAGGACTAATGAGTGCATGTTATCATATGTGCCCGAATTTTTCTAATTTCCAATTTGGTAAGTCAACTAAAATACAATTATATGGTTATTTTTATTTTAGTAAATAAACTTCTTTTTTGCAGTTATACATCTTAAAAATATCTTTATTTTTCTATTAAGCTTTAACTTACATACTTTTTCTATGGTCTACTAATATTGTGGTGCGAGCTACTTTTAAGTAGTATATGACGTGAGTGTCAACGTAATGTCTGGCAGCAGAAAATGGGGGAAGATCATGAAAGGAAGAGTTAGAACACAATGGAATTTGTACGAAACGCATGAATAGTAGTGACAATGGATTGATGTTTTGCAGAGGAACAGTCCAGTTCGATATGATGGACTGGTATTTTGCAAATGAACGATTTACGATATGGTTTTCCGATTTTACTGAGTAACTCTGTAATTTTCGTTAAATACAATCCGGTGCCCCACCTGTGTTCTCGTTCACTACAATATGTGTGCACGCTTATAGCCATTAATAAATAAGTGCAATCTATAACAGTCGACCTTATCATGCCCATGGAGCTGACAACAACTAACAACAGCAGTTTCCTTTTCTGAACTGAAAAGAACAAATGACCATTAACTTATAAAAATTTCATTTGAACGATTAAAACTTCTCGTATACAAAATATAGTAGTAATACAATACAACGAATATTTTAAGGAATTTTTTTTTCAACCGAAATTCTTTTCATAGTTTAAAAAGCTCATTGTTGAAGTATCGACAATTCTTCCTGAAATGCCCAACTATACCTCATATATTTCTAACCAACAAGCCTAAATATCTACTGTCATTTTTACCGAAAGCGTTTATTTTTTAAAATCTTCTGCCAACAGAATGGTGTTTAGTTTCAATGACATGATATACTTGTTGTCTTAATTTATAACCTTTTAAAATATTATCTTGTTATCTTGTTTTTTTTTTCAACAGATTTATTTTTATTTAATTTTATCATTTTTATTTTCAGATACTGCTTACATGTATATACTTGCTATGTTAATAATGTTAAAAATTTATCAAACACGACATCCGGATGTGAATGCATCAGCTCATTCAGCATATATGGTTATGGCTGTAGTGATTTTTCTAGGTGTTCTTGGTGTTGTAAGTTTCACTTGATTGTTATCATAGTAATGTCTGTTTTTTTTAAATATAATTAAATGGTTCATGAATTCTTGACAGTCAGTTAGTCAGTCAGTCAACAACAACATAGAACTTCGTACGTACATACATCAGTTCAAGTTTCCATACCACATTAGCACAGAGATGCAATTGTCACTTCGAATCCCATAGTAGGTAGACGTAGTAGAAGTGTTAGCAGTAATCGGACAGATTAGGGTTCGACGATATTAGTCAAGATTAGTAGTAGCAGTAGTCAGGGTTGACATTCTGTAGTAAGTTTGATCAGTAATTTTTGGCATATATACTTCTTGATCTAATGTCGTAACGTAAACTGTAGGTATGAGTTCATTGAATATCTAAATCATGGCTAGGAATAAAAAATATAAACGCAGTGTTTTAGTTTATAAAGCGTCTCTGCTTGAAACGAGCTGACGTATTTCAAACAAGATAAAATATACATGCATTTGCTCAGAATTGATTGACTCAATAGGTTTGTCTAAGTCACAAACTCTTTCACCTGAAGAAAAATTGTATTCTGGTTGAGAATAGAGGACCAGTATATTAATTAAATCTAACTTGCTTGGAACGACCCAGTCTTGCTCGCTTTGTTATAAACCTAAATGTTTTACCAACTCCCAATCACGCCATATTGTTTCCAAGAGATCCAAGTTCCTGTTTCAATTTTATCGTGCATGTGTTGATGCCATTACAGTTAAAGTGTGTCAATACACCTATCAATGAATTAAAATATGAGTACATCTAAAAAACGAATTACTCAGATTGAAACGCAATTCAACTGTAGCTCAAATTATTGCCTATTTTTACCTAAAAAATCTAATCACACAATATAAAGAAAAATAATCCAGTCATCGGTTTTGGGATGGTAGAAACAAATGATTCAAAGATATTTCAGTAATAGATTTCCATTTGCTAACCAAAGGATGCATTTACCGCTCAGCAGTTTGCTCCGTCCTTTCTGGGTGTGAAATATGGCCAGTAAGAATAGAGCATATTCATAGGTTACAACTATTCGATCATCTGTGTCTTCGAAGCATTGCTTGTATATCCTGAGACCACCGAGTAAGCATTGCTGGTGTTAGGAAACGAGTACTAGGTAGGAATGGCAAATCAATTGATAAAGTATTCAATCTTCGTCAGTTGAGGTGGTTGAGGTATGTGTTACGAATGCCTAACCGCCGACTGCCTTGACGAGCTACATTCTGTGGTGTAGGAGTAGATTGAAATAAAGCTAGGGGCGGCCAAACCAAAACATGGCACAAATCCATAAAGTCACTGACAAGTGGACTGAGCCATGTTACTGGGTCTTTACTGTCAAGTTGGAGTCCACGAGACAATCTGGTATGGCAACTTGAACTAGTGTACGTACGAATGAAGTTCTACGTTGTAGCTGACTGATTGACTTTTTAAATTAAATACAAGAAATTATCAATGATAAAAGTTTAAATTTAATAATTAAGCATAAATTTCAATTTCATGTCAATCTGTTTAAGGTTGATTAAGATAAACAAGAAAAATTTAGCGATATTTGTTTCATTTAGTTCAAAAAAGCATAACTTTTATGAGTGATTTTCAACGACTCAACACAAGTTTAAATGAAATGTGATAGTGAGTTGAATAATTTTTCACCTTTTAACTTTATTTAGTTCAGTGAAAGTATAAGAGTTTATACATTGAGATGGTGGGGAAAATTTTTATCGCAGGTGGATGATTGTTACGGTGTTTCGTTCTCTGAGCTGGATGTTTTGGTTTTGGGGCTTTCATTTTTATTCTGAACATCATCATCAGCACAAACGTCAGATAGAACAAGTGAAGTATTCGAATTTCTCCACGTTTGACCCGTAGCTTGTTCTGTTAACCTCGATCTTGATTGGTTGCTGTTGACCTTAAATCTGTCGCTGTTCACACCTTTGTTTTGATTGTACCCCCCTTTTGATCTGTTTCTATGTCATCTATGATATCATAGGCGGGTCAAACGTGAAGAAATTCGAATACTTCACTTCTTCTATCTGAAGTTTGTGCTGATGATGTTGTTCAGTGTAAGAACAATGAAAGCTCCACAACTAAAACATCTAACTCAGAGAATGAAACACCACAACAGTTTATACATTGATTTTAATCAAATGTAATTTATTAGTATTCACATTATGAATGGAGAATTGATGAGACATTTTAAATGTATAATTCTTGCAAAATAATTTGAAGGACTGACTAATGAAGACTATGGATTAGTACACATTCGTTTCTCCTCTTATCTATTAACCATTTTAGCTGTTTATAACTAACTATACTGCCTGTTTAAATAATGCCATCATAAAATATGACACATATTTCAAATTCATAATTTTTAGCTCATAAACATTAATTATTGTTGTTGAAAAATGAATTGTTTTTGTTTTCAACTAGACTTACTGTTTATTGTTCAACAGTTATTCATGTTGAACATTACCCCTCTGTGATTTAGAACTTTGTCATTGGCTAGTTCAGTGATTGTGTACACGTGATTATTAACAGTTTGTAAGTAATAATTTTGTATTCAATAGAAGGATAAGTGCAAACTGAAGATCAATAAGTGAATGTACAAGTGTCTATTTGCAGTTAAATTAAGGTTTTTGTATTTGCTAAGAAGTGAGTGGAAGCTTTGGTTCATACGCAGCCTTGCTCTGATCATTTTGTCTTCTTTGAATTTGTCAGTAGATTAAATCTTTTCATCAATTGTCAATCATCCTATTAACATTCTGTTAACAATTTTGATGATCCAAATGTATCCTCATTTATTATTGCCCGAAAATTCTCCTTAACACACAACAACTTAATCATTTGCTGATAACTAACTTGAAAGTTGTTTTCTGTACGTGATGTGAATTGTGACACACAGAGCTAATAAAATACTAACTCATCAGTTACATCCTAAATGAAAATAATATTTGGTCTTCAAACAATCAACACTGAAAAGTATTAACGATTAGACAACAACAAGAAGTTGACACTTTTCTCACTCCCAAATATGATTGTAGGTTTAACTCTCTGTCCAGTGTTATGATGAGTGCATAACAGTATGAAACAAGATCATTATGACATGGTTTTATATGGGACAGTAATAATAATCTTGTAATTTTAATTATTACCAACATCTAATACACTGTGATATATATATATCAAGTAATTAGTCTATAACCATGAAATTTGTCTGTATGTGTTTATGTGTGCAAGAAAATTTCATTATCTCTATTCTTTTGTAATTCTTTTTTTTTCAGTTATATGGAAATGAGATTTTCTGGATTATATTCACTGTCTTCTTTTTAATCATGAGTGTTATATTAACTGTTGAGATTTATTATATGGGTCAATGGAATATTGGTAAGTTGAATCTATAGTCTTTTATATATGTATATATGTTTATATATATATAGGCCGCCGACTAGCATTCTGCAATCTGTATTTTCCTGGACCTTCCTTCCTAATTCTGCCCAATTGTTGTTCTTTCTTCTGATGTTTGTCTCCGTTTCTCGGTGTAATGTGTACTTTGGTCTTCCTCTTCTCCCTTGGCCTTTAGGATTTCAAGCGAGAGATTGTTTTGTGACGCAGTTGGATGCTTTCCTCGATGTATGTCCTATCCTTTTCCAGCGCTTCTTTGTGATTCCTTGTTCTGATGGAATCTGATTTGTTCTGTCCCAAATTGAAATTATCATATCAGCACAACAATTTAAAACTATCAAGATGAATGCTAGATTAGTAGAATGAATAATTGTATTTGTAGAAAGAGAAAAGATTCAATTCAAATGATATAATTCGTACAGAAAAAGTAAATTAGTATAATGATAAATTTTATAGAATAATTTTAGAATTTGGGATCGCTAGCAAAACACAGCCAATGTATCTATACAATTGTTATCGATTCTAAGCTATATCTTCTAACCTCTGATTACAATATAAATGTGTAACTCAACCAGGTACTCCATGTCTGTCAGTACGCTTTTAGATGACCAGGTGCATACTTCATGAACTAATGCTTCTTTAATTGGCTGTCTCTAGCCTTCTTCGGAATTATTCCTACATAATTAGATATTACCGATTGTGTTATATCTGTAACAATGTTTAGTATCATTTACTAGATTCATCGATCACAAACCTAGTTATTATGTCCTTACTCCACTATCCCAATGGCATTTTGGGTTTTAATCTATCGGCCCTAAGTTTCCACTAATAAGTTTTACTGTGAATCAAACTGAGGATAATCATAACCCCTACTAGTTCATTAATTTCCAGTTTAGTGTCTCAAAGTCTGACTCCGATTTGGACGAAAAGTTAAATGTACTATTAAACAAATTTTTCCTTCAATTTCCGTATACCATTCTTAAGGGAACCACGTTTGTACGAAAGCGTTGATCAAAAGTCTAATACGGTTTATTTTGAATGAATTTCTTTCCATACAGTCGCGTTAGTAGACAAACAATAAAGGGAATCGTAAAAGCGTAGTAAAACGGAGAAGGCGAGTGAGCCAACTCAATCGATGAGCTATAAATAGTTATTTATAGTCAGACAAAAAGTAGGCTAGAAATGTGTTTAGTGAAATAAGCAGTGCACACACACATCGTAAATCAACCAAGATTGTAGGCGAATAAATTGACCAAGTCGAGAGACATGTGAATGGCTAGGACAAACCATCGTTTGATTGTTATCATACAGATGTTTTTAAGAAGAATACTATATTCGTATTATAACAGCTCCCCAACTAAGGCTTGATTTCCGTCCATTGAAATTGATAGGCTTGAAAACAAGTGTTGATAGACTGACTAACACACCTAATTTTTACTTATTATCTGTTTGTAACGAACTTTATTGAAGATCTTTGTTAAATTTGATATATCGTTCGCTCTGATAACTGTTATCAGATGACTTTCAACAATGTTGTATAAATATCTCAGTTGACAACCGCTTATTATCGTGTCGTATAGATCATAGAACTACAAACATAAAAAGCAAATATAAAAACAGACATGCGAATGCTGAGGTCCGAGTAAATGGGATGTACACATATATTTAGGAAAGTTAGTGAGTCATTGAATAATTAGTCAAGCAACTAACATTAATACTAGTAAGAAGAATATATACACGTAGTCTGTAACTAGTGATCAAACATGCTAATGCCAATGCGAACAAAGATATAGGTAAATTTTTACAATTCGAATAAGATTGCCTGTTGGACAAGTGAATTAAAAGGCTTGACCGAATTAATTAATTGCAAACAAACTGAAGTGTAGTTAAGGTGCTATCTCTTAAGTTTGAAACGTTCTAAATGATCAATCAAAAAGTCTTATGATCATGTCTCTACGTATAAGGATATGAATTTAACATATCTATTTGAAAAAGACGCCTTTGAAACAACTGTAGACGAAATGCAGTACAATTACTGTAGTATTTGAATTAATTGTTTACTCATGAACGAATTTTGATCGAGAGAACTAACTACCTATTTTCTTTTTCAAAGGATTAATGTTCACAGCTAATGATACAAAATATTCATTTAACATGTGTATAACCTTTAAAATAATAACAAGGAATAAAAACGAAGGTTACAAATTAGCTTCAATACAATTGAAAAACAAAACCACGATGAACAAAAATGTATAAATCTCAGCATATTAAATGATACACACACACATTATGTAACAAATCTCCTAGTAAAACCCGTTAAATATTGTAAAACAATCACTGAATCAAACACCCTACAGAACAATTGATTTTTGTGAAATAGATTTGTCAAAAATATACAAATTGGTTGACTAACTACGTAATAAGTGGTGAAAAATATCATGTTTCTATTATCCTTCAAAACGCTAATCAAGTTGTAATGTTAGCTGCTAATATTTAAGTGACTTGATACCATAATATACAATGTTTTCGTGTTAGCATGGTGAAGTGTTAGTTTTATGTATGACAGAAAAGAAAACATTCTTTAAATCTACTAATTGTAAAATTCTTACTATTGTGCTTTAATTCATACTCAGTTTCCGCATACAAACTTCTAAACATGAATAATTAGTGAAGTTGTACGAATAAGCAACCATATATGTTTACCCGTATGATGATTGTTTTTGATTTTATCACGTTGTGTAATTTGTCCATTACCTATTTTTTTTTAAACACATATATTTTTTTTCTTTTGTTTCTATTTTTCTACAAGATTTATGCCTTCCAAGACGTATTTATTATTTAATTCGTACCGATGGAATTGGTTGTTTTCGTCCAACTTATTTAGAGCGTATGCTTCTTTTACTTATTGCTAATCTAGTTAATTTCACCTTGTAAGTTTTTGAATAAAAACTGGTGTGTTTGTAAATTTTTTTTATTTCGCGCTACAAAGCGCTTTCCAATTTTTTAAAAAAAACTTCATGTTGTGTTGCGTGATCGTAGACATGTGTTTTACGATCCTATTCAGTCTCGACGTACACTTTGTTTTGTATATCAAACTCCACTATACAAGCCAAGAAACTGAAATGAGTAGAGAGACTTAGTTACCAGATTGAATTACAATGTATGCAAGTCATCTTCTAATCCAAACAGGAACATGTAGGCTGAAACCTTGACTAGGTTTCCAACGGAATTTCTCCATACGGTTGTTTCTTTTAGAATGCATGTGATATGTCTATACTCTTCCAACTTATCAAGGCAATCAACAGAAATGCCTTAATTCATCCTACTTGATCTTATTTCAATACAGTCCACTTTCCATCCCATCTTGGAAAATACTAATACTCTGGCTTAATCGAAGCTATAAACAGTTAGACATGCTGGATTCATCTGACTGAACTAGTCAAACTGGTTCATTACTAAACTATCTTGAACTGGTTACCACACCAATACAACTTGGTCTATCCCTTTTATAATTGACAAGAAAAAAACTAAATTCAACATGTTATTTGGTTAATACTGTAGTGAAGGAAAACACAGGTGACGGCAACCGAATTGTATTTATCGCAAATTACAGAGTTACTCAGTAAAATAGGAAAACCAACTATATCGTAAACGGTTAATTTGCAAATCTTCAATCCATCATCAATCCATTGTCTGACATTTCACTTATTCATGCATTTCATACAAATTCCATTGTGTTCTAACTCTTCCTTTCTTCTTGATCTTCCCCTATCTTCTGCTGCCAGACATTACGTTTACACTCACGTCATATACTACTTATAAGTAGCGCGCACCACACTACTACTATTTGATGAATGGCAAATCAATCGCATTAATTATCATTTTGTTTTCTTAGAAATATTTTTATTTTAATCAATTTATTATATGACTGACTGACTGACTACAGATTATTAGAAAAACATTTTAACTGTTTTTCATTTTTATTGCAACTGCTCATTTTCACTTTGTGTTTGTTATTCTAACACATCATCCATCTTATGATTATGTTTTTGTTGTGTTGAGACGACTTAATTGATCAAATCATGGTGACATTTAATTTTTGTGTATCAATATTTTGAAATTATTAAAATCTTAATTTTCCATGTGAAATCAATCATATAAGTTGCTATTTGATTTTGGCACTGCAGTTCCATTGAAAATTGTAACATTCAATCAGATATAGGCATATCCATATGATGAGTTTGAATATGATAAGATTTGCATTATATTTTATGGATTTAACTGCTGTTTTTAAAGTGACAACATTAGAAAACTGTTTACCATGTTATATATTTCAATGTTCGCTTGGAACTTTGTTAAGAGTTCTCAAACTATTTTCAATCCATTTCATCCAACGTCTCCAACCACTGTTTGGAGTTATCACTCAAGACTTATCTGAGGAGTCTTATCAGTACTGATGGCCTGGTGACTGACGAAATCTCAGCTCGGATACAGAAGGCTCAATTGGCTTTTGCCAACCTGCATCACTTATGGCGCAGGGGAGATATTCGCTTGTTAACCAAAGGACGAGTGTACTGCGAAGCAGTTCGCTCTGTCCTACTATACGGAGGCGAAACATTGCCGTTAAGAGTAGAAGATATTCGTAGGTTACTATTCTTCGATCATAGGTTTATCCGAAGCATTGCTCGTGTATCCTGGGACTACCGAGTAAGCAATGCTATCGTTAGGAAACGAGTTCTACGTGAGGATGGCAAATCAATAGATAAAGTGGTGAAACTTCATCACTTGCGGTGGTTGGGACATGTGTTACATATGTCTAACCACCGACTGCCTCGACGAGCTATGTTTTGTAGTGTAAGAGTAGATTGGAAGAAAGCTAGGGGCGGCCAAACCAAGACATGGCAGAAATCCATGAAGTCACTGACAAGTGGACTGAGTCATGTTGGCAGATGTAGGCTATCTGGTTGTGGTCCGCTAGACGATAATCACCAATGGTTAGGGACCTTAAACGACATGGCTCAAAATCGTTTGCAATGGCGCAGGTACATCCACTCTTTTTGATTCCACGCTTTTTAATTCTAACCTTCTGAATTCCCCATAATCTCTATCTTTCTCCTTCTAAATTTATCTCACTGAATTATACTTTTCGAAACATATCTTCGCTCCCTAATCTTCTCCATTGTTGCTAACAATTCTACTATCGCTATCACTCTTGGATTTGAACTGACAGTTACATCTCTGTGCTGACCGTGGTATGGCAACCTAAACTGATGTACTTATGTACGAAGTTGTGCGTTGTATCTGTCTGTCTGTCTGTCTGTCTGTTATCACTCAAACGCCAACCTTTCTCAGACTGGCAGTCAATAAATAAATTTATGAAATGATTCTATATCATCATTGAACTTTAATTCCTTGACATTCAACTATAGTCAATCACTTAATGAGCTTATTATTTCTTAAAACTGAAAAAAACTCATCATTCTGAATTGAGTCCTAAAAAAGACATGCTGTCATTGTATATTTTATTTATTATCACATCATTGTACTTCGGAATTTTCACTCTACAAACTGGAAAAGATTGAATCATACAAACTTACTTGCCCTACTCAATTTATAATGATCTAAATGAATATTAGGAAGAGGTGACTTGTTGATTAATACACTTAGCTTTTAACTAGTAGAGATTGTAGCATTAAACGCCAATCTATCAACTGCACTTCTGACACTACCTACTTATCAAATGAATTAAATTCAAAATACAAGTAACGTTCCTACTAAAACCGTCTGTACTAGATATCTGGGCACTGTGTTAACCTTGGACACTACATTATCAGGTGAAACTTTGTATTTACTCAAAATTCAGTCGCTGAGACTTCCACGAATATCATTTTCCGCTTTAATATTGTCTTCAATTAAATTCTTTGGTTTTAATGTAATATATAGTTGTATTTTTTTTTTAACTGATGCCACTTAACCTTTTGAAAATAATAACAGTAGTCAATAAACATTGAAATTTGTACGAAAATAAGTTCATTGAATCAAACCTGTTTTGAAAATAAACAAACATGTAAACATTCAATTGCGCATCAAATTATAGAAACAAAATGATACTAAACAGTGAAAGTTACGTCATGCAGTGAGACAAAGTGTTTGAATAATCTAAGCCTCATTACAACAATAGTGAACAAACAGGCATGGGGATGAAGATGAAAACTTGATTGGTTTACTGATTTTTCCCTAAAATATAATGAAATCGTCGAAACTTTTGAATTTCAGGCCTTTTTTTTGTCACTAGAATCTCCATTAGAGATGTGCAATACGATTATTGACTGTGAAACAAAACAAAAAGTGGATACTCCACAGGTAGTTAGTTAGTTAGTTATACAGTTGTATATTTTTGTAATAATCCATAATTTGATGTACAAATTTCAATATGTACTATATATATATATGTTGCTCTCCTTTTTTTTTAAAATTTATTTTGTAACTTACAGAGCCGGTTATGGCATAGTCAAACGACCAAGAGATTTTTCTACTTTTTTATTGTCGATTTTTATGATCAATTTATTGATGTACACATTTTTCTATGTGATTATGAAAGTAAGTAAAGTGTAATGAAGTGTAGCATCAAATTTTGCGTAAAGTGTACTCTTTTTTTAGTCAAGTTTATTTTCCATTATCTATTGAACATTGGTGCATTGCTTTGTTTAAAAAAAAAAGTCAAAGATTATGAGTTGTATTTGTTCTCGTAGAAGTCAAGAACTTAAGACCTTTAAGAAGTGAGTAGACTATTAACTGAAACAATATTTCATGTATTAGTAAACTGACTTTCACCGATACTATCGTGATTTTTTTGCGATTAAATATAAATAAATGGATTTAAGAAAAAAATTATAACGAATTTAGAAACTTGGAATTTGTGGGAGAACAAAGCATGAAAGCATTTACGCCATCGCAGACTATTTTTAGCTGTCATTCAAAGTCTCTAACCATTGGTTGCGATTATAAAGCGAACCCTAACTAGGTAGTCTGCATCTCTAACCATGGTTCAGTTCAAATGTCAATTACTTTATGGATAAGTTCCATCTTTTGGCTTGGCCGCCTCTAGCTCTCTTCTAGTCTTCTGTATCGAACAACGTAGCTCGTCGAAGTAGTCGGTTGGACATGTGTTACGCATACCTAAAACACCTTAGTTGATTGAAGATATACTACACCTACCTAAAATTCTATTCTCAACCAATGGATTGCCTACTCGATGGTTCCTGAATGCAAATGTAGTACTTCTAAGACACATTTAATCGAATACTAGTAGCCTACAAATATCCTCTCTCCTTAATGACCATGCTTCATAACCAAAAAGTAGAACAGAGCGAACTTCTGTGCAATAAACTCATCCATTAATCGGTTGACAGATATCTCATCTTCACAAGTGACACAATTCGGCAAAAACAAATCTAGCGTCTATTTGTGCCGACTTTTCGTCAGGCACCTGGCATTCAAGACTGATGAGACTCTCAAGATAAGTTAATCGATCAATACACTCGTGTCTTTTTACTCTTGACTTTCAACGTATTCACCACCCTTCAATTTAAAACGTTTACATTAGTGTTGATAAGCACGTTCACATCATTTATCATTATACAGGACAAATATCTCATGACTTCATTCTAATGTGTTTAGCTCTATTTTTTTCTTTGAAAGTTGAGTACATCTGCTTCATCTAATCTTTCACAAACCACATAATTCAACGATAATATAACAAATTCCTACAATCTACGTATTTATGATTATTATTTTTCTTAAATCTTTGATTACAATGTTTTCATTGTTTCATAACACTCGCCATTCTTAACATGACTAACTTCCTCGAATGTATCTTTGTTTTATTTAACTAAGCAATCGAAGTATATTTTTTTAATCGAACAGAATTTTCTAATTACGTAAATTATTCTACTACATTCCAGTTTGTATATATACGTATATATATATATATATTTTTTATACACGTAATTCAAAACACACATCCTGAATGATAATATTTTATAGTGTTATACAGTTACTCTATCATTACAACAGGTACTCATACATCTCCTCACATTTACACACAACACTTGTTTGTATTTGTTATCAAAACTATCACAGAACTTTGATCTTTGGTCACAACATCCTAGCTTCATTGATCTCATGGTAATTGATTTTAAGAATGGTCTTACAAAATGGAATTGCATTTTGATTGTGCGCATTTATACACATTCAATCCAAACGATATATAATACATGCAGTGTATCATGCATGATATTGTTTGTTTGTTTTTTTTACTGTAGAGATGGATAGCATTTCGGTTGTTTGTTTGTTTGATAAAATCATGCATAATTTCAAATGCACCTAATCAGTAGTTGTAGGCTGTGCTTATTTTTTTGTTGTTTTTTTTAAAAAGAAAAGATCAAATGAACTGAACTGAATGGCACAATCAATGTCAGTTTAAATGTCTATTGTTATTGTACTAGAACAATTTTAAGTTTTATTCATTGAAGGGAAATTTTTAAAAAAAAAAATAACGAATCAACTATCATAGTTATTTATTTAGAAATTTTCTCTGTTTCAATGTTATCGTATATGATTTCATTTAGTTGCATAGTTGATGTTATTGATATAATGTTAGCATAGGGGTACATTTAATAAAGGGAGATCTAACTGTTATTGGTCGATGATATACGCCAGTAAATGTACATTCACTTGGTGATATAATAACTATAAAGTTTAGTTTAGTTTCTTGATGATTGATTCAATGCCTTTTTGTGTTGTGACTTATCTTGAGAGTTTCATTAGTGCAGTTGACCTGATGACTGACGAAATCTCACCATGGATACAGAAGGCCAACCTGTGTCACTTATTTCATAGTTTATGTCAGTTTACTGACCAAAGGATGAGTGTATTGCGCAGCAGTTGATGTGGTTGGTACATGTGTTACGAATGCGCAAACACTGACTGCCTCGACGAGCTATATTCTGTGGTGTAGGAGTAGGTTGGAAGAAAGCTATGGGCGGCCCAACCAAAACATGTCACAAATCCATGAAGTCACTGACAACTGAACTAAGTCATGTTGGTAGATGTAGACTACCTGGTTGGGGCCCGGGAGATGATAGTAATCGATGGTTGGAGAATCTGAATGGTATGGCTCAAAATCGTTTGCATAGGCGCAGGTACATACATTCTTTGTGTTCTCTCAAATTCTAACCCTTTGAATTCCTCGTCACATTTGTTTTTTTTCTTTTTAAGTTTATTTCACTAAATTCCACTTCTTGAATAATATCTTCGACCACTAATCTCCTCCATTACCACTAATACGTGTATTACCTCTACTGCTACGGGATTTGAAGTGACAATTCATCTCAGTGCTTATGTGGTATGGCAACTTGTACTGATGTGTACCTACGTACAAAGTTCTAAGTTGTAACCGACTGATGTAATGTGTATTTCATGTCCTCTGGTTTAGATAAATTTTCACTGATTGATGAGATATGATTTTATTGTAACAACTAACTTTATTGACCTTAAGTGGTCTGATTGGTTGATTAACAGAGACATTTATCTAATCTATAATGACGTCAGTCAAATCTAAATCACTGTCATTATTGGTTTTTCGATTGTCCAGTCAATAGAAAATTAATCAATTCTAATTAACTCACTTATCTTCAGCTATAAAAAAAGCTACTATTTTACTGAATTGACCATCTAAAACCTTGAAGTCTCTTTGTTTTTTGTTTTTAACAATAATCCACATTTGTTCACTCTAAGTCTTCAAACTCACTGATAGTGAAAATATTTGTCATATTTTTAAGTTATTTATTTTTGTAATTCATAGTTAACTAAACCAGTTCTTACTTGTTAATATTTCTGAATTATGGTTGTTTAAGTACTTGTCTTCGGCTATTTAAACATCATAATTGCTTTACTCTATACAGTATTTAAAGAGTTTTTATTCAGTTGGAATGTACAATCATTAGTATCGGTGTAATAACGGATTATGAGTCTCATAAAACCAATGTGTAGGCTTAGTATTAGTCGGAGTTATGATTTCTCTTAACTATTCCTACTTTTATTTAATTACTGCAAAAGTTTCAAAGGATACTACTACACAGACTCGTATAAGTCATTCCTGTTAGAGTAATTGAAATTTGTCACAAATTATTTGTTCAGGAAAAACATTCAAGCGATCCCTTATTTTATCGAATTCAGTTTGAATTTAACTATAATAAACAGTGTATATGATATAAAAAGATGACACATTTTGATTAAAGCTCTGTTCAGAAATGATGACCATGACCATTTTGATCGCTTAATTGAGGATCCAACAGTCAACTTTTTCGGAAGAAAGCCTATTTTTCTCTTTAACCTAATTCATTATTCCTATAAACAAACCTAATTTTATGGTCTTGATATCTTTAAAACATATACCTCTTCCTGGTTGCTTTGGAAGTAGTTTACGTAATTTAACTGAAAGAATTCATTTCATTCAATACTCTGAAGTATGATTTATAGTGAAATTGATTGATTTAAAAAGAATCCACTACACTGCAGTCTATTACTATTTCGTTAATAATATGTATTATTTTCAATTATGAGATGGTGAAGAAAATTTGTAGTTCAGGTGACTGACTGAATGATTATGATGGGCTTTCGTTCTTTGAGCTAGATGCTCATATCAATACATGCGGATGATTGTAGACATACATTCGATTGAAAAAATGTTCAAGTAATGGATAGAAGAAGAACAAAGAACACCAGAGTTCTTAGAAGCTTTGTCACTCGGCAATCAACAGCCACGTTGGCATTAATCCAATTTACTGACCAATCAGAAAAATCATAGACAATCATAGGATCAAGAAACAGCTCAAAGGGGGATTCAATCAAAATAAAGATGTAGACAACAGGTTAAACGTCAATAATACTCACTCAATATTCGAGATCAACAGGACAAGCTACGAAGCATACATGGAGAAATTCGAATACTTCACTTGTTCTATCTGAAGTTTGTGCTGATGATGCTGTTCAGAAGAAGAACAATGAACGCTCCGCAACTAAATCATCTTGCTTAGAGAACATAAACTCTATCATATTTACAGTTATATTATAGAACATAATTTTTAATGGGTGTATACTTGTTTTTCTCTAAATTATTGTCTTATTTTTTTTCTTTTCAAGTTAAGACATCGTGAACGCTTTCAGATGTTATCATTAGTGTATATTTCACTAGCTTGCGTGTCTTGGGGTTGTGCAATTTATTTTTATTTAACTCGAACAACCACATGGGAAGTAAGTGAATTATTGGTTTGTTTATTGATTTTTTTTCTACCATATAGTACACAACTTTTACATACAAAGTAAAATTTATCTTTTGAAATCATCAATCAATCATTGTTAGACCACAATTAGAAACCAAGAATCACTGGACGGCCATTTCGTCTTGGTATGAGACTCATCAGCACTGCGCATCCACGACTCCTGCACCTTTCAGGATTCGAACCCAGGAACTTCAGTCTTGCGCACGGACGCCTGATTTCTCGACTACTGGGCTGACATCCAACGGTATCAATGTCTAACTCTGATTGATCTAGAGATTTTGCGCGACCTCACCCATTTATCTTTGATACCTACTGCCTACAGCCGACAGGGTTGAACTCCACTGGTCCACTCCACTCCACGTCTTCTCACTAGAACTCCGAGAATTTCCTCACGAAGCTAGTCACTAGTGAGCACATTTTACGATTTTCATGCATGAATATGACAGTTAAAATTTCGGTGAAAAAAAGAGCTCATTAACATAAATTGAAGTACACTTTTTAAATAGTTGGTCTTCTATATAATGAACCAAAGAGATCAATTATTTTACATTACTGTTAGAGAAGAACGGATCATTTGACTCCAAGAGGCCAAAAATGAAAAAAAAACCCAACTGAATCAAGCATTCAATGAAGTTGTAGCAATTCATAACGATGTATACATGAAGTTCCACGAAATACCGATATCTTGACTTAACTCTCCGAAACTCTGCCTATAAGTAATCAATTCTTTTTGAGTGAAGATGTTCTCATTTCGATTGATAACTATTTACTACTGTAAAATATCATTTCTCAGCAATAAAAATATGAACAGAATCAAAGAAAACTAGGCACAAATAAAGTTACAAATCACGAGCCAGATTACATCGACTGAATATTTCATACAAACAATACCATTGAAACTTATACACATTTCATATTATCGAATATTTATCAATCAAATAATGTAATCTCAAAGTCACCAATTAGAAAGTTCTATTTAAATAAGGCGTTATTTTCTCTAACCAATTAACTCCAAGTTGATGAGATTAAGAATCAATATTACTATTGTTGCAGATAACTGATTTTGAGTATCATGTATAGATTTTTTCCATACACACACACACCCTCACACAAATACATGCCGAGATATAGAGAGAGTTTAATCGACTAAATAATTAATCCAACGTAAAAAAAAGATGAGGTTTTCACATTTGATTTGAACTACATGTTGAACACATTCATTTTCAATCCCTTTGAATCATATTTCAATTATCTCTCGTTTCCAAAACAAATCGAACAGTTCGAGTTAGGGGATATATGCTACAAATTCTTATAGAAAATAATGTTAGTTCACAGTTGATTGTTAACACAAATAAGCTACAGAAAAATTCACTCTGTATAATTTCAATATATTCAAGTTGTTAACTGTTTTGGGGCAGAGTTTTGGAGGTTTGCGTTTTTGCACATTTGAAATCATCAATCAATCATTGTTAGACCACCATTAGAAACCTGGAAGCACTGGACGGCCGTTTCGTCCTGGTATGGGACTCATCAGTGGCAGTGCGCATCCACGACTCCTGCTCCCCGCAGGATTCGAACCCGGGACCTTTGGCATTGTAGGCGAACGCCCATACCAGGAAGAAACGGCCGTCCAGTGCTTCCAGGTTTCTAATGGTGGTCTAACAATGATTGATTGTTAACTGTTATCAAATTTATTGTCTTGTTAATAGTAGTCTAGTACAGTAAATATTCTCGATAAAGGAGCATATTATGTATATTAGCACAGTAGATTTCGAATAACAATCTTATCATCAATATTATTGTTAAGAATATTTATTTATGAAAAAATTCAAACGGTCGACTAGACAAATAAATATAAGTTACACATAAATATAAGGTAGGCGAAAAAACTAAGATCAATAAAGGTGTGACATGAAAAACAATCTGTAATTCATTATGCTTGGATAACAGATCGATATTATCAGGGTAGATTTTAGGTAAGGAGAATCTTATTTTTTGAATAAATGTATAGGGGTTGAATTTCTGTATGACCACAACTTCAGTAAACCATAGTATATGCCTCAGACAACTTTTGTTGTGTAAAACCATAAAGGTTGAGTTAGTATCGATGTTATGACCTTTCTTAACTAATATGATTAGCATTATAGGGAGATGGATAAATTATCATTTGCTCTCATTCGGTCATTTGATTTTATGCGTTTTTGTAACCATTTCAGTTGCATGTTTAGAGAATTCTAACTGACAAATCATCATTGTTCCTTGTTCGGTGTGTCAGTCGCACATGCAGATGCGAACTGTGTGATTTGACTCAATCGTGCATATTCCGTTTAGGTTTATCGTGATGAATTTCATATTATTTCTCATATTCTCTTTATTAGCTTAGTTTTCGCTTACCTTCCATTTGTTTAGTCGACCGTTTATTTTTTTTCATTGACAAATGTTCTAAATATTTGATAGAAATCTTTTTCAATAATTTACTGGTTACACTTACTCAATAATTGTATACTGATTCTACAGACTTCAATTTTCCTACACTGATGATGTCGCTCAAAGCTTAATGCATACATAACATTTCACATGGTTTTATTAGTTGAAATACACTGAATTATAGACGATTTTTCATATATTTTTATTTAGCATTTACTACACCGAACTTGAGTATAATTGAGTTGATTATACACTAGACGTTTCTGTGACTAAAAACTTTGTCATCGTCAAAGTTCTCTAATATTTTGGATAAATATTTTCATTGGCTGTTTGACTATACGACTTTTCGATATATATAAGAATTTTCAATATCAAGACGAAATCAATGTTTATATATTTGTTTTAGTCGTCCACTCTGATAAAAAAAAAAAGCACAGCATGTTTCTTTTTAACTTATCATTAGTATTAAAAGCTTTCGGATCGATATTATGGTGAAATTTCCAACAGTCTCTAACCATCGATTACTATCATCTCGCGGGCCTCTGTCTATCAACATGGCTCAGTGGTACTAGTAGTAGTAGTAAGAGAAAGAGCAACTTACAAACTTTACATAAAAAAACCAAAAAAGCTTCAAGTTATTCTCTCTCCTTTTTTGTATTTCACTACAGTAATTTTAGATGTGTATTAAAGTTAACAACGAGTAAAATATACGAAGACAGATATAAAAAACTCATAAAATATGTAATTTAATATAGTGAATGTATTTTGACTTATTTTAATCAGTTTCGCATTAGAAATGAATAAATTGTTATGTAACATTTAAATAAATAATAATACTTCGTCAATTATGTACTACAAACTATCAGTTAAGTAACTAGTATGTGAGCGAGCAATCAAGAAGAATAAATAAGTAGGCAAATACACACATAACCTAATGCACAATATTTCAAGCTCGTCACTAGGTATGCTTGGAACTATTACAGGTTCACCTTAGTCGATAAACGAGAACGAGACAATGAACCAGAGTCCAGGTAGGCTACTCTGATCCGTTGATTAAAAAGATTAACGAAGAAGTCTTGATATAGCGTAGAAAGTATATTCTACTAACACCTAGCAAGCACACAAATCGCGCTCATTTATACATCATAGAAACGTCCTTGGGACAGTTAAGAAAATAGCACACTAAAATACACAGTAGCCAATCACAGCCATGGATTCTTCTGGTGGGAAATAAAACCTCAAGGTCAACTGATCAGCCCATGCTGGCAAACGTGAAATCCAAAATAAGGCATTTATCAAGCGAGTTCTTTGGGTCTAACGTCCCCAGCACAATCATGTGAACGTGATGGTTAATAGTATGGAATACATAGATTAGCTTTTTATAGTTGACAAAACCACTTTACCCTAACCAAATGAATTCCTTTTTTAATGTTAAACTAAGTTGAACATGTTGTACAAGGTGGATAAGATTACTATATTGTCATTATTATCTAGTGTTAATCAGATCTATTTTCCAAATTAATTGAAACATCCTTGATTTTTCTTTCTTTTTTTAAAAAAAAAAATATACGAAACTGTAATCTAATTGATTTCAGGTAACTCCTGCTCGTTCTCGTGCACTTAATCGACCCTGTGTTTTATTGGATTTCTATGATGCACATGATGTTTGGCACTTTTTATCGTCAATATCTATGTTCTTTTCATTTATGGTAAATTGTTTCAACACTACTGTTGAATGTTTTTTGCTATTGTTGATTCTGTTTTATGTTTTGTTTTTTTTTATTCTCCATAAATATATATTTTCATGATTTGGGTTAGCGTTTGAGTCATCCACATTGATGTTTAAGACTGATAATTGATCAGTCACAGTTCTATCACATCCATGGGAAGTTCCAAATATCGAACATGTACGAATAATGGATGCATCCGATTGAATCCATTTCATCCAAAATGTACGACCATAGATCGGAGTTATCGCTGGGACCTTTTTTCAAAGTAACAGTCAATGAAGCCGTAGACTGGTGCTACATAATGGTCTGGCTTACACTAGCCTTTTATTGTTCTGTTCATACTCCAACCAACATTGCACATCCAAATACATGATTGTTAAGCATACTTAGCATGTGCTCTGACCAGCTCAATTGATGAAATTTCGTAACCTCATCATCCAGTTTACCACCATTGTATAGTACCCTATATAGTTGCTTCAACGACACATAACCAAATACTTCAACTACTTTTCATAGCTACGAAATGATACAGAGTAGATTGTTATACATGGTTTACTATTTTTTTTATCTGTTGGATGAAAAACTCACTTACGCCAAAATTAATTCACGTTTAAAAAAAAATCAACTGAGTTTTCTCAATTAGTGCTGAGATTTTCATCAGACAGCATCTCACCAGGGATGGTAATAAGTGAAGCAATGAACATGCACACTTACTTTACTCCTTATCATTAATTCAAATGTTGACACAGAGACACTTGTCTTAGTTGTGGAGCTTTCATTGTTCTTACACTGAACAACATCATCAGCACAAACTTCAGATAGAAGTGAAGCATTCGAAGTTTGTGCTGATGATGTTGTTCAGTAGAAGAACAATGAAAGCTCCACAACCAAAACATCCAGCTCAAAGAACCAAACACCACCACTACCACAATCATCCACTTGAGCTACAAATCTTCTCCAACACCTATCTTAAAATGTCACGTTAAGCTTAGAGAAAAAGAATCGTATCCCAAACATTCCCTTATTATTACTCGAGGAGATCAGATGACTTTATTTCATTATAGCATAATACTTGTTATTCAATTCAACATATATTAACATTGCGACGATCTAAACTATCTTATTGTTTTCTCTTTAAATCTAGTTACTCATGTACTTGGATGATGATCTATCGAAACGGCCAAGAAATCAAATTTTCGTGTTTTGATCATTAAATAATAATAATAATAATAATAATTAACTATTACAAATAAAATATCAAGATGATTATCGATTGCATAGATATGATTATGAAAAGCAACTAACTATTTCACATTTTGTAAACATTATTGTGATTGATGATGATGATGATGATGATGATTATATGTGTGTGTAATCAGGCAATTTCTATTGTCAGTAATTGCTTTATTATTTATTACATAATTTATCCTCATTGATCCATCGTTTTTGTATTGATTTTTCTTCAGTTTTTTTCTTATTTGTTCATCTTCTGTGTTTTGTTTTGTTTTTTGTCAGACTGTTTTCATCTTCTGTGTTTATTTGCTAATTCTATTTCTTTTTTCTTTTTTTTATTTAAAAATCTGATTCAAACTTAATTTGTATAGGATTCATTGAATTGATGAAATAAACGAGTCAATTTGTGAGCATAAGTTTTTGTAGAAATAGTTGTTAGTGTTCAAGCAATTAATCAGCCTAAAAGAAGTCAGTACTGTTTACTTTTAAAATAATTCTATGTTGGTTATGATTGATTTATTGATTGTAAGCAGTCGACATGAAAGAATCTTTTATCTAGATTTCATACTATTGGATGTTCTTCACTAAGGTAATATGCGTTTTTTTTTAAAGAGAACGGATGTTTATTTAATGATTCGAATATTCAATCGATGATCGCCTAAAAATTGTATTCAGTGCAACAGTTGGTTATTTGGTCAAAATCTTAATCATAAATAGCTTCAAACATCGATAACGAGTATTAAACAGTGACGAGTTGTCGCCAAAGTGTTGGCTCAATGTTTGAACTGTCTCAGAAAATAAACGATCTTGTAGGTTCAAAGGCAGGATCAAATTGCAGTACTTGTCCAGCTCACTTGCATCCAACTTTCGAAGTAGCAGCCGAACCTTCCAAGCGTCATCTTGATTGGCAAAATCAAATTTAAATAAATCGTCATAACGCCGGAACCACATGTCAAAAGTAACATTTGCATCAGGATCATAATGAAATTCAGTTATGCTATTTGCGATGCCGTCGACCGATGGAGCTATGGTTGCATTAGATGAGCTGGGCTGTGTTGAAGGGGAAATATTCATGTCTGTCAACATCTGGATCAGTTTCAGCTGCTACTCAAGTAATAATTTAAGTTTAGCAGGATCGATGTTTCCAAAACCACCGTCGCCAATTGTTATGTTCGTCACTAGGTACGCTTGAAGCTATTACGGGTTCACCTTAGTCGATAAACGCGAACGAGACAATTACCAGCGTCCAGGTTGGCTACCTTGATCCGAAAACGGCAAAACAGAAGTCTTGATAAGCATAGAAAGTATATTCTACAAACACCCAGCAAGCACAATGCAATCAAGCACACAACTCTCGTTTATCTATGCATCATAGAAACGTCCTTAGGACAGTCACAAAAATAGCACACTAAAATACACAGCAGCCAATCACAGTTATGGACTTTCTTGGTGGGAAATGAAATCTCAAGGTCAACTGATCAGCCCATGCTCGCAAACGTGATATCCGAAATAAGGCATTTATCAAGCGAGTTCTCTCTCTCTCTCTGAACATTTCAAAGTGTAGAATTGTTAATCTAGCAAAAAACGTAACAGCTTATCTTAACTGTTGCACCTATTGCAATCGGTTTAATGAAGTCTAAGACTGATATATACGGAAAATTGTTGAAGGTGATATATTTTCAAAAAGTTCCTTTGTTTATAAAACATATAAGGTACACAATTTTATGAGTTATGGAAATGACTTTTTATCAATATCAACTATTGAAAATCACATGGAAATAACATGAGAATTCATATCAATAATATATATGTTCAAGTTGACATTAGAATATATGAAATGTGGTTACCAGTAGAATCCAGGTTGCGCGTTTCATCCTACTTAGGATTCGCCAGCTGAATAGATCTACATCTGAGAGTAAGTGTGCTCTTCGAGACTCAAACTTAGTACCATTCTCCTCAAGTGCCAACGCGTTATCTAGCCAGCGACTAAACGGACTCTTTAACTAAGTGGATAACGGGTTGGTGTCCTAAGCTAACGGTATTATATTCGAGTACCTATGTGTACACTAACTCTCGAATGTGGATACTTTTAACTGATGAGTCCCAACCAGGAAGAAACGCGCGTTCTGGATTATACTGGTAGCCAAATTCTGCACGAAATTGTGTCATAATGACACAGGATACCTATTTACCAACCAAGACTGATAGAATTTCAGTCAAAATATCAACAATGTGACAAATGAAACCGCTACAAAAAGTTATGAATAGCTTCAACTATCCATGTTATTCCATAGAATATAACGCATTGTTTTCGTATTGATGTAATAGATGTCGAATGTTTCTCACTTAGAGTAATAATACATCAACTTAAGTGTTAATAAAATAACTACTACTGAAAATATGGCTTCAGTAAGTAAGTAATCGACGTGGATAATATGTGACAAATATATTCAAGTGGTTGATTCATGGTTTCAAAAATGTGTAACTTAACAATCTTCCCAACCCCGTAATGCAAATTACCTGTGCTCACTAGTGACTAGCTTCGTGAGGAATCTTCTCTGAGTTCTAGTGGGAAGACGTGACCAGTGAAGTTCAACCTGTTCGGGTGTAAACAGTAACTAATACCGAAGACTGTGTATGAGGTTAGACATCAACACCGTTAGATACCTGCTCAGTGGTCCGAAGGTTAGGCGTTCGCACACAATACCGAAGGTCCCGGGTTCGAATCCTGCGAGGTGCAGGAGTCGTGGATGCGCACTGCTGAGGAGTCCCATACCAGGAAGAAACGGCCGTCCAGTGCTTCCAGGTTTCTAATGGTGGTCTAACATTGATCGATTCATGGTTTCAAAAATGTGTAACTTAACAATCTTCACAACCCCGTAATGCAAATATATTCCATTTGATTTATTTGAATATTTGTTATTATCTGAACGAATAGTTTGACAGGTATTAGGCACTGAGTTTATGGAAGATTTTGTTTATATAAACATTAAATTTGAAACTCATTCATTAAAAATTTAAACGATTTTTCTAGGTATTGTGTTTAGAATTCGTCATGGTAGTGAGTTTTTCACACATAGTTGACCCTTATTTTACAAAATTAAACTTTTCAATATGATTGGATAATCTTTTAGTGTTGATTTGTTCTTTTAAATGTTATGTTTTATTTCATAATGCTGGTCACTACCCTAACAAAACATTGAAATTATTAAAATCTCAATTTGCTAAAATAATATCCAATATAATCCTGATAACATTCTATTTATATTCTAAAAGATTATTCAGTTTATACTAAATAAAATCGGTATAACTGAAAAGTTTTGTTTAAATTACTTCTCTTGAGTGAGTCATAAGGCATATTAGTAGGTCCGTTGTGTGCATTATTGAAATTGTAATAACTGTACGTTTTTTGTTTTTTTAATCATCATCACGGTTGATTGAGTATACTCTTCATACTTCCATTTTTAATCTGTAAATTTATACCACTGTTTCGAGTTTGGTTGTCCGTTGTGCCCATTTGAAATACACTTCTCCATCGTTGTATTATTTCAATTATTGCTGGTTTCTTGGGACTAAACTGAAAGAATACTCGTGGATAAGCGGACCATATAATCTATTTCAACTTTTTAATTAAATATTCGATAGACACACTGAGTATATATATAGTTGATTCATGCGTCTCAACTATGAAATGGTAGATAATTAAAAGCTTTCTTGAATTTACAGTAATAAGGGATCAAAGAAAATTCGTTAGTTGTGTTTACTGAAGATTGATCTCAGTTCAGATACTGTTAAGAGCCAAGAAGCATTAGATGGCTGTTTTATCCTAGTGCAGGACACCTGACCGGCTATCGAACCCAAGATTTTAGGTCTCGTAGCGAATGCTTAATCATTATAAACAATTGACCAGTGTCCGACAATACAAGTATAATCGACTAACGATATAGCACGACGATCATTCAAACGCATGATTAACAACTGTTTCACTCCAGAAATACGTTTGAACTGCTTCAATCATATCTTTTCACAAGGATTTCAGGAACATCATGAAGGAAATCTCTAACCAGAACTAATTACTATGATTAAGTTGATGGAATTTAATGTATGAGTTGCATTCGTCACAGAATAATCACTGGTTTTTCTTGGTACCCACAATAAATTGCATGTTCATATAGGTCATTTTATCAATAAATTGATAGGTACAAACATAACCTAATCCTTGATAACTTACATCTCTCCTAGTGATGACTATAACTTAACATATCACATCAAATTATTGAAATATCTAATTCTTTAGAAATTCGTTTGTTTAGTAATCACCCTAACATATTTTGAAAAAAAAAATATTTGCAATTTTCCGACTGTGAGCATAGTTTTATAAGTAAACAAGGATCACACCACACAAATCCAACAAAAAGAATATTACAATCAAGACAAGGCATGTAGGTATTTATTACGAAAACAAAATCGTAAGATAACGTTTTTCTACAAGTATCAACATGAACAAAATAAGCTCCATTCATTTGACGTATCATGTTTAATTTTGATTGCATGCGACCTGGATAAATCGATCTTCATTTAAACTTATCAGTTTATATTTAAGGATGGACAGCAGTGGATCAACTGGGAAGAGATAAATGAATACTGATGTTTTTAAGATACTGAGAGGTTTATACTGTAACGCTCCGTGTGTTTTATTTTCAACTAATCCACTATGTCTCTAAAGGTATTCGCTTGCTTGTAAGACCACACGCTTAATGATTGAAACAGGAATATTTGAATAGTTAGTCACCATAAAACCCAGCTTTTAAGTACTATCTCAAGACATCCACGCGGATCTACCTGGGAATGAACTCCAAGTCTCTACGTATCACAGTCAACATGAAACTATCAAAACTTTTGAGTTGTTATATAAGGTCATATTCCCTAGAGAATTACTTATTGCTTCCTAATTACTTGTATTCTAAAGGATATTTTCACTGAATGATAACTTAATTCTCACTGCCGAGCTTCACTATCTTTAGTGGTAGTTTACTGGAATTGATTACAAATTTCCTATTTCAGAATTCAACTTCAAGAACATGTTCGTTGCCTATGAAAAAATAACTGTTTTAAAGATTCGTGATATGTTCATCATGCACCCTCTGTGAGACGTGACAAAGCCAATATTTCATGTACCCTATGCCACACGAGCGTCAGAAAGTAAGTAATAATCAGATAATGAATATTGCAGTGCTCAAGCCATATCACAAGAATTGTCTGCTCCAAAGTAGATTGTGTTAAGTTAATTGCTGTCATTTGGTGCACAGTCAAGTGTTCGTGTAACTTAACAGTACTGTCACACTCTATCTGCCGAAACTTAATATCAACCTCAAGTTTCTTGAGGACGAGTTGGCAAAAGCCAGCCGAGAATTCGTTACACACTAGACAACTGGGACTGATGAGACTCCCAAAA